TGGTGTGGTGGGTGTGTGTGTGTGTGTGGGTGTGTGTGGGTGTGTGTGTGTGTGCGTGTGCGTGTGCGTGCGTGCGTGCGTGCGTGCGTGCGTGCGTGCGTGTGTGCGTGCGTGCGCGCATGTGTTTTTCTGCGAGTTTATGCCACGCAACCAACAAGCAGGTGGATACATGGATAGGTAGGTAGGTAGGTAGGTAGGTAGGCAGGCAGGCAGGCAGGCAGGCAGGCAGGTAGGTAGGTAGGTAGGTGGCTAGCTAGCTAGCTTGCAAGCAGGCAGGCAAGCAGGCAGGCAGGCGTAGGGAGGCAGGTAGGTGGTAGGTAGGCTGGTCGATAGACACATAGACCGATCGGGGCTCGGGACAGAGCTAGCTAGAGATGGAGCAGGGAGAGTGACTAGTTTGGGCGCAGCTTATAGTTTTGCGACTATATCGCACAAGGGAATGTGGCGTTTTGGCCTTGCTTGGCTTGCAAGCTCCGGGTAAAATTTTGGTCCTGGCAGCCGGTTCAGCTCTCGAACTGTGAAATAGTGTGATCTGGCAAGCGGTAAGTGTTGACGCTAGGTACCAGTCATAGTGTTGGTTGGTCGGTCGCTTAACTTCACCACCTGAGGCGGCCCGACAATTAGCAAGGATGAGAAGAAGAGCTTTCTGCCGCCGATCGACAGGTGGGAGACTCCGTGTTGGCCGAGGTGGCTGTGGACTATCTCGATGACCTAGGCCGGGCAGGGCGTGGGGAGGTATGCCGAACTTGGACTCACCTTTGGCTGGGCTGCTCCGGACGCTGCCAGCTGGAACATCCTGAGACCCTTAACTTTCGGCTTGCGTCCAGAAGTTTGGCAAGCCGGCAGATCGAAAGGGCCTCACACACTCTTCATCGGTTCATGCACTGCGGAGTCGCTGAGCGTATCTTGAAGCACACCTGTCCTTCCCTCTGCCTCTATTCTGAAAACAACTTCTAGGCCATTGGTTTCCTTTTTGCCCCACTTCGAGCCCTTGAGCTCCAGCGCCAGATTCACATCATCCGGAAGAGCGGGTCGAGGTCTACAAGGGCACCATCTTGGGGTTTGTGCGCAGCCTGGAATACTGTGACCCTACTACTACGAGGTTCCGACCAATCGGGAGCGAAGAGACGTTGTGCGAGCTATTTGTGTCAGATATCAGGTTAAGAGTCACCCAGGTCGAAGAGCAGGAAACTGGAAACTGTAGGAGGCCAGCCAGTTGAACTCGAGAGAGATCTACTTCATCTTCTTCGGATGAAGATGGAGGCCAAGAGAAAGAAAAGCATGATCATGACGGTCATGATGACAGATGATGACGAGGATTCTGATTCAGAGTCAGATGACAGCAATGCTGCTGAGAAAGGAAGAGGCGACTTCTGGTTTCGATGAGCGTTGGGTTCGCGATGAGCGTGCAGGATGCTCGGAGTCTCCCTGCCCTGCCCGCGGATGCAGCTTTGATCTGTGCCGGGGCATTCACGAACCGGAAACCATAATCATTCAGAGAATTGACCTGGATGTTTCCTGTGACGACGCGGAACGTGATGACAGAAGCAAGCTGATGCCCAGGAACCCAAGACTTCAAGCGGTATTGGCAACATGAAAATACAGAACGCAAGCCTTGTGACCCCAGAATGTAGTTTCTGTATTAAGCGGAATGAAAGAACTGTAGCTCTAAGAAGTCCGCTTAGGTGGGAGGCATGGTCCGTGTCATGCTGGACACCGGCGAGGCCTGGACTTTGGCTCCACGACAGTCGCACTCGGGAGGCAAATAGGTGCGCACAGCCTTTAGTGTGTGGGGCTGCTGCGTGAAGATCAGAGACAAAGCTGGTCCCAGCATTACAAAGAGGACAAAGAGGGTAGAGAGCCTCCTGCTTGGTTGCATACAGCTAGTGTGCGGTTAGAGGAACGTCCGAAGGAAGTTGTTGACCTCGGCTGAAGCTTTAGGACAGCAGAATCGAACTCAGATCCAACTGAGGGGGTCATGGCGGAATCCATGTATCTTCCTTTGGCGTGGTTCCCCTAGCTGTCCAAGATTTAGTTAGGAATGCCTCCGCAACAACATCAAACCCCTGAAGCACGACGAACCCTTTTCTGCAACGGTGCTGCCCGCAGGTTGCAGCGACATGATTTTGGGGTGGTGGAGGTTAGGAAGGCAGAGTGCAGAAGACGGGCAGAGCCAAAGACAGCCACCGCGAAGAACGAGGGAACACAAAGGACATGAAATGATGACAAGGCGGCTCCCTTTCACACACGCCCTAAGAGGCAACGGTACGGCAGTGGGCGATGTCACCTGGGGAATTCTATTTCCCAAAACGGGATGTGGGCTGGACCTCCTGAAACCCTGCAAATCAAAACCACTGAATGAGTGGATGGTTTCCACAACCTAAACCTTAGCAGGACTGGGGCCGGGGCCGGGGCCGGGGGCCGGGGGCCGGGGGCAAGCTGAACACCTAACCGTTCGTGCCCAGAGGAGCAAATCCTCAAGCGATCTTCAGTGCAAGCCGTGAAGGCCGGGCACTGCGAAACCTGCCTTGTTGATCCCAGGGCTTGGGATGAGTCGGGATTGTGGCGTGGGTGTCGATTCCCGACGTTGAAGCAGCTCGATTGGACTACTTTGCCGAGATGTGTGCTCCGAGGCCTTTTGTCACCATCACGTCGCAAAGCATGCTTTCCTTAGGATCGGTGCAGGATGTCAGCAAACTGACTTGGCAGGGTTGACGTCAGCTCAGCAGTGGGCTGCAGAGTCTCCTGACGTTAGACTGAGTTCGAAACTGCGAGGGCCGCCTCCAGCTGTTACAGTCGCCGAACCCCATGCTGCGAAGTGGGCATTGCACCTCAATCGAGCGGAGCTATGGCCGGTCATTTCTTGATCACAAGCTGTTGGAATTGCAACAACATTCGAGAAAATGAAAACACACAGCAGTTTTATATCTTCACAACCTAATCAAGCTCCAAAGATTGACTGTTCGAGGATGGAGGCCTTTTCACCTTGTGGGTGGCTGTTGGAGATGGCATGGCCGTGTATCGATGTGAGGCACCGCTGCAAGCTCTCATTGAGGGCGGGTGAAGTACAGTTGAGGTCACCTATTTGGAGCTTGGGAGACAAGGAACCCTTAGCTTCGCAGGCCACCTTTCGGCTTGAGTTCTGGGCAAGGGTCTTCGAAGCCCGCTGCCAGCAGGAGACGCAGATCCAAAATCTGAGCCCTTCCGACGTCAACTCTTTTTCGCTTACTTTCACCCGCATGCACGTTCTTCGCAGCGAGTTCAGCACGGCCCGAAGACCATCTTATCTCGATGGTGTCTTAAGCTATCCTCAATTTGTTCGTGTGTGTCTGACTGTACATGTTTCCCCTTTGGTCCTTTATGCTATGGCAATGGTTCCTGCTGTTCTTCTGGAACTAGATAAGCTTCAAGCTTCAGGCCATTGGCACGCGCTCCATACAGGAGCTTCCAAGATAAACTGCACGCCTTTCGGCCCGAAGTGTCCCGAAACCTAGAAGCGACGGCCTGGGAAAGAGAACCTTTTAATGCTCCCTACGGGCTTGATGTGCAGGTTCTGGTGAAGCGACAAGTCATCTTGGCCCTGGAGTCCGGCCCCAGGTTAAATGGTCTGCGAACAGCTGATCTCTGATCCAACAACTGCATCAAGAAGGATTCCCGTCAGATTCAGATTTCAGCTTGCAGTGCTCGCTGCACAGGGACCTGAATCTGAATTCCGAACTGCGAACAGCTTTGCGGACACCGGGAGGGCTAGCTCGTATGATTTCCATCGTGAGGCGGACCCCCCCTTTCAAGTTTTATTGCAAGCTTTCGGCGAAGTTGCACACCTTGTGCGCTGATTCCCGCAGTCCTACTATATAGATGCATTTCTAAGTGGCCCGAGGTTTCTGTCGATGAAGAAAAGGCCCAGTCGCATGTCTAATCGGTGTCAGAAGTTCGGTGACTGAATGAAGTTCATCGATTCGAGAAGGGGACTTCGCAACTGAAGAGCTAATCTGTCGGCTCCGAGGCAGGATGTCGTCTTTGACTCCGCAAGGCAGGTGCGGCCAGTCGACCTCTACAAGGTGCTTACAGGGCTTTGTTTTTGCAGGAGCCCAGGTGTCTCCATCCGAAACATCCAACAGAATTGAGTAGTAGTGTTGATGCGGGCTCGAGGCCCTCGATCCAGACGAGTTGACTCCCACCTGTAGAATGTCTTCTATGTATTCGGCTTTCCCGGTATCCTCGCTTAGACCGCATTTCACTTCGAACTTAACATGACCCACCGGAGCTCAGATTGCACACATCACGGTGGTCTTCCTGCCGGGGAGAAAGGCTAATGGAATATGCATAGTTGTCGTGAGATGGATCTCACTTATCCACCTCCCTGTCCACCCATGCCTGGTGCAGCCCGAAAGATCCCAATCGCGACGAAACAAGACAGCTAGCCATAGCGTCAGCTCAAACTCAAGTCCTCGATACATTGACCCTCAGACCGTCCTTGTCAACTTGCCAATGCAGGGCCTGCATGTGACCTCGCCGCACCGGGGTGCCGGCGTCCGGGCACCCGGAGAAGCCAGCATCGGAAGTTCGGTACATGACAGGTGACAGGCAGGAGGTCGACAACAATAGCTAGAAGTTTCCACTCCGCTCCCTCAGTCGTGAAACAAGAATGACAGGACAGGACTCATATTGCAAACGGTAAAGGTAGTGATCAGCGCAGCATCCTGCTGTATGATATGCTAGACAGCATGCTACGTGCGTTGACAGCTCGATACTGGTGATGTCAATCATCAATGAGGTCAGTGGTTTGAGCAGTCTTGCAGCCTTCCCAGCTATAGCAGCGCATTCCAAAACACCCGGAATTTGGAAGCGGAGCATGGCCTTCCCTTTATGTGAGCCCTAGACAAAAGCACAGACCTGCACCCCCGGTGATGCCGCCTCGGTTCGATTCGAAGCGCACGTAACAGTCACCCTTAGCCGATTGCTGTTCGTCTCGCAGGGCCTATTCCTAGCACACACAATCGTCTTGACTCCGCCTCCAGGTGGTCGCGAATGTCGCACCTGAAATCGGCCTTTGCTCCGTGCGCTGGGAGGAGAACGGCATCACCGAGGCCCTGGGCCTTTGCTTGGGTTGAAGAGTCAAACATGAGAGTCTGCGCTTGATCGGGGTTGGAGGGAAGGGGGGGTGTTTGTCGGAAAGAGCTGTACCTCAAAGGCAGCTTGCAGCAGAAGTCGATGGCAGCCTTGTTTGGCCGGTGGAAGCTGGGTTCCTCATTAGAACGACTGCTAGTGTAGGCTCAAGATGGGTGGATGGATGCATTGAGTAATGCCGTTGGCTTCGTCTTGGATGTTTATTCTCGATCACGCAGGGAGCCTCGGCCTAGGCGAGCGATTGTTAAGCTGAATGTTTTATCAATGCGATGCAATAATTAATCGGCAGTGCTGCCCATCCAGGTTTGCTCTAAAGCTACACAGGACGTTAGCCTAACATAACCGAATCTATGGCTTCAGGCTCTATGGGCAGCCAAGTAGCACCTTTCTGGTCCAGCATTGCAGCGTACAAGATGTGTCTAGTGCAGTAGTCTGTACTGCGCTAGTCTTTGTGCAGTTGTGTGGCTTCCAAACGAGACTGCAGCCAAGCTCCAAGCATGCATCTTCTCGTCTCACTTCTCATCTTGCTGAGCGACATCGCCTCTGCATGCGCCTGTATTTTATCACACCTGCTAGGGTGCTCCCATCACTCTGAGCATGGAGATCGCCCACCCAAGTGCCCTCCGATGCCCTGTCGCCAAGTACATCCTTTTGGCTGCCAACAGCCATGACTTGGCAGTGCCAGGTCGTTCCCAGCAGGGATTTGTTCATGACGGGCAGCGATGCCACAAAGGCCAAAGTGATTCAGACACTGTGAGCAGCACTGTGGTGTTTTGTCGCACCTGGGGCGTTCGGCTAAGTGGTAGTCTACCGCTTGTGCACACCGGAACAACTGGATTTTGAAACCGTTGGCGTCGAATCCAACATGCCGAACACTCTTATGTAAACACGGGTGCTCTTGCTGCTCGACCAACCTAGCAGCTGACGCAGACTTCAAAATTGAGAGCCCCCTGAACATTAAGACGCTCTCAGAAGAGAGACCTTCCCTGCAGGTCCTTCGGGACGCCCCGCGAAATCTACATCATTCTTGCCTGGTGCAGCTCCTCGACTTTTTTTGCTGACAGAGGTCACAAACACTCTGCTATACATACGCACATACACACATGCATGCATACATGCATATGTAGCAGATTCCTACTGCAGATGGCAGCTCCGATCCGTGGAACTCGTAGCAGTTACTCAGTATCTGCTGTATTGCTTAACCAGTGTGTACGTACATATGTACACATAGATGCTTTATGTAACAGGCTGTATTGTCGTGAATTTTTACTGAGGATGATAGTGGTGACGACAACCCCAGCTGAATCGCTGTTGAGTGTTGCCATGGTTCATTTGGACGTTTATATACTGCGTCGCAAGTTAACGGAACTCGACCCAAACGGCCAGTTATGTAGACTATGACAATGTAGCTGTGAGAATCTCTGACGCCGTTGCTTGGACGACAATTCGTCTCAAGGAAAAGAGACACTGCAATTTGGTGGCAGTATGTAAACCTCCTGCGCCGTTGCCGCGGGACTTCTTCTTCTTGACACGGGGCAGGGGGATGATGGTAGCGAAAATACATGCAGGCGTTCCTCCTTGGGAGATCCAGTGGCGGAGCATCAAGGTCACGATTCGGAACAACGACATGGCAAAGCAAGTGGGGTTTTTGCTGAGCCAAGCATGGGGGCTTTGTTGCGGATCACAGCCCCTACTGTGGGCTTCGCGTAGGAGAAGCATCCCATCCTGGCCCATCGGGAGGAGGTCAAGAACCTCGATGGTGACAAAAAGTCTCACTAGACGAGAGTGGAAGGCCGACCCGAGGGGCCTTGCCACAGTAAGGAAAGAGGCCGACGGGCTTCGAGCAAACGCCACGTGGGAAGATTCCACCGTATGCACGTTGGCAGAGCTCAGGGCCAATGCCAGAAGGCAGCAGTGCAAGGTCAAGATCGCCGAGCGCTGACCTTATGTGGAATTAAGTTTGACGAGATGCCTGAAGAACAGTGGAAATTCAATGTCGCATTATACTTCGGGTGCAAAGACGGCAATGCAGTCAGCCTCGCAGATGCGGTGGAGGCCTTTTTTCAGGCCAACCTAGCCGCAGCCTAGGCCGGAGAGCCCGACACGTGGATAATCTTGCCCGAAGAGCTGTGGCTTGAACCATGGAGACAGAGATTTCCTTTTGGATCGAGGGCAGGTCGCTCTGCGGGCACCCGTTGGCCGGAAAACTCGGGCAGCGGCATCTGTCATGGGTCCTTTCCTTAGGTGGCGTAGAACTTGATTTGTTCCCATCCAGTTTCCTGTTCCAGGTGGGTCATCACTTTTGCTGAACTTCTATGGGAATGATCTCACGCTCTCCGGAGCAAAGCATCTCCATTGCGACTCTTGGAATCGGCTATATAAGAGCACACATCAAGCTAGAAGATGAGGTCTTCACTGAAGCAGCTAATGCCCGAATCCGAGGCAGAGGTCACAGGATTAAGCGAGGTGCTGACTTCACGACATTAGTGCTTGACATGTCATCTTTTGCACAACAAGCCGTAGATGCTTGTTGTGAGCTAGCGGACATTCCAAAGAAACGCTTGAAGAAAGTCGCTACTCCATGTCTGTCAGAGGCATTGATGTCAGGTGAAGACATAAAGCATGAAGGTGCATGCATTGAGCGGGGTTGCCGCAAAAGTCTTGATGGAGGCACTATGGCTTGGACGCCTTGCGCGGCCCGATATCTGCTTCATCATAGGGCGGTTAGCATCTAGAGTTGCTTCCTGGACATGCTGGGAGGATAAGCAGCTGCTCAAGATGATTTCCTACTTGCATGGGTCGTCTGACACATTTGACACATGTCTCGCAGCAACTGCTTGTCATCATGACACGCCACAACTGCACACCTTCACCGATAGCGATTTCTCATCATGTCCTCACACCGCACAGTCCACAAGTGGCATTTACATCACCGTTGGATCAACAGAGTTCGGTTTTCCGTTATGGTGGTCATCAAAGAAACAGACCAGTGCTGCCAGAAGCACGCCTGAGGCAGAAGGAATTGCTATGGCATCGGCCATGTTTGGCGACGCCTGAAATGTGCAAACGATGTTGGAGCATTTGTTAGAACAAGCCATAGACGGTGTGTTTCATCAGGACAACGAGACACTTCTGAAAGCCTTAGCGGCTGGTTATTCGGCTAAACTTCGGCATACCAATAGGGTTCACCGGGTTAACATAGCCTCCATGTCCGAAAATTTGCAGGGTCCACACATTTCTGTTGAGTACAGCCGAAGCGAGCTTCAGATCGCAAACGGTCTGACCAAGCTTATCCCGCCAGCCGAGTGGCCGCACACCATGACACAGTTTGGCATGACAGCATCTGGCGATGGTTTCCACCTAGATGCCGTTGTTGCTAGTCCTACCGGTCATAGCATTCCTGCTTACTGTAGATCTTTGCTGCAAGCTGCCCAAAACTGCCATCCAAGCAACAC